TAGGGCTCCTGGTCAGAGAGATTGTTGGAGGGGCTGGCCTCTGACCACAGGAGCCCTCTTCTCACATCCTGCAGGCAAGGCACGGCGGGGAAATCACAGAGTCATAGAACAGAAATAACTCTCCTGTGAGCCCTCTGCCAGAGGACCTTGCCCAGCACCCCGGGCAGCCGGCATAGGGGTGCCTGTTGCTCTGCCCGGCTCTGCAGCAAGTGCTGGCCAAAGCAGAGGGATGAAGGAAGGCTCCGTGGTGCTGGTAGGAAGCTCTGCGGGTGCTGCTGGTGCTCCCCAGGGACTCCAAGGGCTGCTCCAGGCCATTGGACCGATGTGAAAGGGAACTTTTCTCACCTGATTGTAGACTACTGCCAAGATCACAGTCTTTGTCCAAATGTTTAGAGCAAGAACACTGCAAGATCTCTTTGGCACAGGTCACTGAACTAAGTTTTTTGTAAATTAGTGATATGACACAGGTACATTTTTCAAATCTCCTGTATTTATTACGTGCAGAACTATTTTCATGAGCAGCATGCTCTTTCTGAAAACTACCTTACAATGCTGCAGCTCAATTGATGCAGAGAAGAAGCAGCCCAAAAAGAGCTGCTTTATAGATGTCTTCTGTGTATGACCTTACCTTAAGATAACTGAACACCCATCTACTGGGCTCTCCAGGACCTAAAGTTAGTGGCATCTGGTCTACGTCCCTATTTGACATCTATGTTCTTTCAGCTTTGGTTTCACATCTGTCATATTTACATGTATTTGCATAGATTTGCTGCCTGGATTTCTCTGATATTTCTTTTTCACTGCAGGCCATCTCCAGCACATCATGTCTCTCAAGAGGACCACCTCCACACCCATCACATTTTTTCTTTCGGGCATCCCAGGGCTGGAAACTGTCAGCATGTGTCTCTCTTCCCTTCACCTTCATTTGTGTTGTGTCACTTCAGGGGAACATCACAATCCTGTTTGTTACCAGGACTGATCCGAGCCCCCATGAGCCCATGTACCAATTCCTCTCCGTGCTGGCCACCACCAGTTTGGGTTTGTCTGTCTGCAGTGCCAGCTGTGACAAGTGTATCCTGGTTTGATGCCAGGCAGGCTAGGCTTGATATTTGTTTTGCTCAAAGTTTTTTGACTCATTCATCCTCATTCTTGGAGTCCTCAGTGATTCTGGCCCTGGTCTTTGATCGTTATGTGGCTACGTGCTACCTGTGGAAATACTCTTCCATCCTCACCAGTGCCAGGACAGCCGAGATCGGGCTGGCTGCTCTGTGCAGATGTGCTTTACCAACTGTGCCCCCATTCGTGGCATTAAAAGGATTGCCTTTCTGCCAGTCCCGTGTGCCCCCCAGTGCCTCCTGGCTGCATCAGGACCTGGTCAAGCTGGTGTGTGCAGATATCACATTCAATAACTGGTATGGCTTTGCTGTAGCCATCCTCTTTCTGACATCAGACCTCATCCTCATCTTTGTGTCATATATACTGATCGCTAGGGCCATTCTGATCATCGCATCCCACAGGGAGCATTTCAAGGCTTTGAACAACTGCCTGTCCTGTATCCTGGCAGTCCTGATCCTGGACACCCCCATGGTTGGCTTGTCCATGGTTCACTGGTGTGGCAAGCACGCTTCCCCTGTCGTTCACATCTTCATGGCCAACATCCACCTGCTGGTCTTCCACATGCTGAACCCCATCACCTACAGCATAAAAATTAAGCAGATCTGCAGGGGCATCCTCGGGGTTCTCTTGCCTGGGTGTCCCGGTATGAGGCAGGGACAGGTCACAGCTGTGGGACGAGACCAGGGGTGATGTGTGCATTTGAGATGTTGACTTGGCCCATGGTGCGCACACACACACATCTTCCCGCCATGCATCTACTGGGTGAAAATGTTTACTGTGTTAATGATACCCTGTGATTCATTAGGGGCTCTGCTGACTGAGTCCATGTGCAAGGATGGCTGACAACATCTGCTCAAGTGAACACAGAGGCCAGATAGGGATCGGGGGGAAGTGACAAGGTGGTGGAAACCAGCCAGGCTCGTTCTTCTGCATCTACTGCTCCTAAGGCCATCAGACGTGAATGGTTCAGCCATTGTTCCCGATTGGAAACTAGAGCAATTCATCAGAAGGAATTGTCTCTGGGACACTATGCAAATTCCTGGATTATTGCCTAAATGGATATAGGATTTTTGTGGGGTGCGCGCAGGAGAACTTGAGATATGAGCACGAGAATTATGGGACTGTACAGGATTTATCACAGGTTGTTTAGCCGAAGGGCTGACAGCAAGAATTATTGGGAATTATTAAGGAATCATTAAAGGAATGTGTGTGTGTGAGGGTGTGTGCAATCCACCAGCAAAATTCTGGCCAAAGCAGGGACAGTGAGGGGCCTGGGGTCTGGATTGGAGGGACCAGGGGTCTGGGAGACGGGTATAGGAGAGACTGAGGGCTGGCAGCAGCTTCCAGAGAGACCCACTGTACTGTGGTCCCTGAGCAGCTGTCCCTACAAACAGGTCTGAGCAACTCATGCTGTCAGTGTGGGTCTACCCCGGTCCACCACGTTGGGGCATCCTGAACACAGCCAACAAACAGGCTGTGAAAATCCCAGCCTAGAACACCCCTGAGCCAGCGGTCAGGCTTGAGTTGGGCAGTGTTTTGACAGAAAGCTCAGATGAAAAGGAAAAAAGAACCCCAAACAAGCACAAAGTGCCATTTGAGGCAATAAAAATATGTCTCAGGAGGGCAGCCAGCAGGCAGCCAGTGGGCATTGGGACAAGGCGGACGGGGTGGTGGGAGAATGGGGGCTGCTTTTGTACACTGACTCCTTTGGAAATGTCAAGATATTCAGGGAAATGCCAATGCAGCACAGATGTCAAAGAAAGGTTTTCTGAGGGCGAGGGGAAGACGAAAGGGCAGCGAGCACATCCGCAGCAGTGTGGGTGGATGTCCCGGGGGCCGGTGCTGCCAGTGCACCCTGAGCATCCTCCGGCAGCGGTGCTGTGCAGCAGGCGACGTCCCTCTCGCCTCTGACTGCAGACGAGTCGCTCTTTCTCCCTCCACCTGGGAGAGCCGAAGTGCGCCGAGCTGGAGCGGGTTTGTAAAAACCTGGCTCTGCAGGTGATTTTCTGGGCTGTGGAAGGAGGAGGTCAGTGAATCTGGCTGTGCTGGAGGTTGTGCTTTGGTTTGCGCTGCTTTCTAAAAGGATGAGATGTTTAATGGAGACCTTGCAGGACAAGAAGGAGGGCCACAAAGATGTTGCCAGGGCTGGAGCCCCTCTGCTGGGAGGACAGGCTGGGAGAGTTGGGGGGGTTCAGCCTGGAGAAGAGAAGGCCAAAAAGGGGAGAGCTCAGAGCCCCTTCCAGTGCCTAAAGGGGCTCCAGGAGAGCTGGGGGGGGACTCTGGGTCAGGGACAGAGCCGTGGGACGAGGGGGGACACTTTGACACTGACAGAGGGGAGACTGAGATGAGATGTGAGGAAGAAATTCTCTCTTGTGCGGGCGGTGATCCCCTGGGGCAGGTTGCCCCGAGAAGCTGTGGCTGCCCCATCCCTGGAGGTGTTCAAGGCCAGGTTGGACGGGGCTTGGAGCAACCTGGTCTAGTGCCTCCCCATGGTTGGAAATAGATGATCTTTAAGGTCCCTTCCAACCCAAACTATTCTATGATAAGAAATTCTAAGGGTTGAGTATTTTCAGTAATTTCTCCCAGATCTGGATGTCTTTCATCCCAGAAATGGTGGGTTTAGTGCAGGTGGAATCTGCTAACACAGGTTGTCCAGGAAAATGTGAACACGCTGAGGAACGTTGTGCCCAAACCGATGTGATGCAAAGGAGAGGGTGGCTGGTCTGCAAAAGGCTGCTTTGACCCAGATGGTTGGATAAGCAATGTTTTGGGGATGTTGCTGGAGTTGAGGATAAGACCAGCAGCTTGAAGGGGATGATTCGCAGAGTCTTGGGCAGGCTGTGTCCCACAAGGATCAGCAGGGGTGAAGTCATGGTGGCAGCCAAGACTGTGGCATGTCAGAGCAGGAGGGGATGGAGAGCCGAGGTGGGCAGCTGCAAGTAGAGAGGGAGAATTTGGTAGCAAGGTAAAGCGAAGCTGTTTGGCATCAGCTCTGTCCAAAATACCTTTCACTCTCCTGTGATATTTGACTTTTGTCCAGGGCTTATGGCTTTGCCCAAACAAGAGCTCTATAGGCATGTATGGGAATATTAAATTTCCCATGGTGTCCAAGGTAATTATGTCAAGGAAAGACGCAGTGCCACTGAACAGAACTATAACTTTTTAAAGATATTTATTCTGTAGGGGGTTTATTTGCTTTTTTTGTTTGCTTGTTTGTTTTTCGCAGTTGAAAGCCCTAAACTTCAGCAAAGTGGACTTGGTAAAACTGAGATAGCGATATCTCTTGAGGAAAACGTCTAGAAGAATATTTTTCAGGAAGTTATGCAGTTCATTAAAGATGTGATAAAAAGGGCTTTTTTTTTTCAAACCCCATCAGTAGAATGAATAAGCAAGAAGGGCACTAAAAATCATCATGCATAAATCACCACCTTTGCAGTGATCCCTGGCATGAGGAAAAAACATGATCTTTTGAGTTTGGTCAAACCAGTAATGATTTACGGAAAGAAATAGCGAGAGCACATAAAGCAAAGACAGAAAGGAGGGGGAAGGCAAAAAGCAATTTGCATTTAGTTAGACACGTAGATTAATGTAAGAATTGCTTTGTTATTCAAATGCTAGGGAAGCATATTGAATGAGGAATATGAACATGCATGACATTTATTATTTTTTTAAATTACAAATTATTTTTCCCTAAAATATTCTGACATCAGCTGCAAATTAAGAAATTGGGGGAAACAGGGAAAAATTGTTGAAAAGTTAAGAAAACAGATGGCTTTAAATTACAAGGGCAGTGTAAGGGCAGGGTGAGGCTCCCCGCAGAGCACTCAGAGAGCGGGAAGGAGCAGTCCAGAGGTTGTTAGCAGATATCTCTGAGAACGATGAATGAGAAAGAAAACCAGACTGGAAGAAGGTAACCCTGGGGTCTGACTTCAGAAAGGTGGAAAAGGGTAGAGAAGAGATAGGGAATTAGAAACCGGTTGGATTAACATTTATTTCCTGAAAAAATACTGAAACAGACAAACCAAATACTTATGGAGCACGCACGGCATATCAAGGAAATAAGTAGCAGTGACCATGAATTTCTTAGGAACAAATTGTGACAAAGCAACCTAATTTTTCCTTTAGACGAGGTAACATGCCTTGCTGACAGGGAAAAAACAGAAAATTAAATCTGCCTTGACTGTAATTATGCTTTGGACACATTTCACATAACGTATTCAGAAACAAGAAAGGGAAGAATGATCTAAATGAAACTACCACAAAGTGAAGGCAAAACTCATTGGAAAGAAGCCTTTTTCAGAGAAAAGTTATCAATTATTCATTGTCAAAGATGAAGCAAACATGGATTTGAAGGAAGCTATCTTATTTCTGCAGTTATTCACTTTTTTCATTAATGAGCTTTTAAGAAAATAGAGGTTTCTTTGGGTCTGAATGTAGTTGTCATGTCATTTTGGGTACATAGATCGGATCTTGTTTAAAAGATCTGGCCTTTAATTAGTGTATTCCATATGAATGTACCAGACTGACATCTTCTTTATTATACTGCTTATTTAAAATTTTTGGTGTAACTCCAGCATCCTTCTGGTGGTCGGAGAGGGAGACTGCTTATTAATTCGTCAGTGAGAACAAGGCAGAAAGACTGAAAGTACAACGGGGAGAAGGCTGAAATTCAGAACTGTCCTGACACGCTGGATGTGAAACTAGAAATGCAATTCACACCATTGGGCTGGTAGGAAAGGGAGGATTTATGTCAGTAAACATGGGTATCAAACCGGTTAGTCTGGCAGTAATATTAATATATAGGGTGGTTTATAGTATTTTTTCAAAATAGAAATAGGGTAGGCAGCACCTCTACAAGAAAGCTCTGGGAAGTACCAGAGATGACAAGGCAAACATTAGTCTACAATGTCACAGTTTGCTAAAATAAACCAAAAAAAATAAAGCCCGAAGTGAAGACTATGTCAGAAGGTATGAGTGGTGTACCCAGGGCACGTGGAGCAACCTTCCCATTCTTCTCATCACCAACCCCACAGGTTGGGGCACCTTCTGTAAAGGAATACAAAGACCCATTAGCAAAAGGAGAGTGACAAAGTAATTGAAAGTCCACAGAATATGAAGCATGAGGACTCCTTTCACGCATGAGAGTTTTTTTGAGATATGGAGGTGTCGTCCAGGAATGTTAGAACAGATTTACTAAGTACCTTTCTGGGTTGGTTGGGGTAAGCTGTTGTATTTTAGGGTGGCAGATGGATGACACCTTGAGATGTTATCCTATATGTAGATAGGATATATATATCCTATATATCCTATATGTAGATAGGATATATGTTAATCCAACCGGTTTCTAATTCCCTCTCTCTTCTCTACCCTTTTCCACCTTTCTGAAGTCAGTAGTCTGTACTCTTGAGCTACTTTTCACATTTCCATCAAAAATTTCTCATTTGATGCATATTTTCTACCACTGTCCTATGCACCTCATTTGTTGTACGTGTATTCTGATATTCCTTATCTACATATAGGATAACATCTTCTGCCTGGTGATACGTTGATCTTCTCCAAGCAGTGATATGGGGGTTTGAACTCCTTGGTATTAATTCAGTAATAATAAATACTTGGGTCTTGGTAGAGATCCACCGTCCCTCCTGGCCGTCCTGTATTTTCATCAGCAAACGGCACAGGCAGATTGGATT